AAAAAAAAAAAAAAAAAAAAAAAAAAAAAAAAAAAAAAAAAAAAAAATGACTCACATATTGAATAAAAGAAGCAAAGCTGCAAAAAACAAAAAAAAAAAAAATACAGCAGGAAAGGATACCTTTTTTGTTTCTTTCGAGGTCATTCAATGAACTCAATTTTTCTTTTTTTTTTTTTTTTTAAAAATAAAAAAAAAAAAAAAATTGTTGAAGCAGCATATAACATAACCTCCACGCATGTGCTTGCACATACGTGTGTGCGTAGATACTCACCAGAACGCTCAACATTGCACGTTTTTTTTTTTTTTTTTTTTTTCTCTCTTTGTATCTATAGTCCCTGATTTTATAATTCGCGTTTACAGGACACTACGCGTAGGAAGTGTTTGATGGAATGCAAAAGGGCCAAAGTAAGGCAGGGCGAATTAAGGCCGAGCGAAGCAAGGCACAACGCAAAGACGTGTTGCCTAAGGCAGCTGCTCAAACTAGCGTTCTGTAAAGACGCACACGCGCTCCACCTGCACAGATATATGTAACGAACCTAAGTGGGGCACTCCCCCCACACACACATACACACGGCACACACATAGCATAAAAAAAAAAAAAAAACTTCTCCTGTCGGTCCAAAATGCTCGCGTATAGCCTGTTGTTCACCGCCGCGTACCTCATCCACGTGGCGACCTACTGCGCCCAGAACCTGAAGGGTCTCGGTTACTCTAATGTGGCGACCAAGTCGACCAAGGTGGAAGAGTCGGATGAGTACGTAGGTCGCGATGAGCGCCAGGACGCAAATTCGCACAAGTACACCCACGTATTCCCGTTGTTCTATGAGAAGGCCAAGGCGATGGAAAACGAGGTTGCCATCACAGAGCTAGAAGATTCTGAAGTAAAAAGAGAAACTACCTACGGACAATTATTCCAGCAGGCTCTAAGTTTAAGTCATCACCTTAACACCCTGGATGGAGGAGTACCGATGAAAAAGTATGAAGAAGCATGCAACAAAGGGCAATTCAAACTGTTAGGAATTTATGGATCCAATTCTGCTAATTGGTTAGTGGCTGACTTAGCCTCCATGGTTAGTGGAGTCACATCCCTAGTGATGCACTCCAAGTTTAGCATTGATGAAGTGTGCGAAATATTGAACGAGAGCAAACTGGAGTGGCTATGTATAGACCTGAACTTGGTGGAGTCTTTGCTTGAGAGGAAGGATAAATTACCCCATTTAAAAAAATTAATCATATTGGATAATTTAAATCATAACACAAATAAAGGAAAGCGAGCGAACCGCCCAGGGGCTCCCACAGAAACGCAAGAACAGAAGGAGAAACGAGAAAAATCGGAAAAGTTGGAAAAGGAGAATTTAGATTTGTTTAAAAAATTGAAAGCGAAAGCAGAAGAATTACAAATGAGTATGTGTGAGATAAATGACTTAACAAAGGATAAGGTGACCAAATACAATGTAGCAAAAAAATCTGATCCGGAACATATATCTACCATTGTGTATACTTCAGGCACTTCAGGAAAACCAAAGGGAGTCATGTTAAGTAATAGAGCCCTGTACTACACTGTGGTACCAGTTAGCAAATTAAGCATTTTCGCAACGTTCCAGCCAAAACACCATTTTTCCTATTTACCCCTTTCGCACATATATGAACGAGCCATAGCATACTTAAGTTTTTATCGAGGCATACACATAAGAGTATGGAGCAAAGACATAACCCTTTTTTCAAAAGACCTGTCTCAGTCAGGTACTAACATCGTTGTGGGGGTGCCCAAAGTATTCAACAGAATATACACAAGCATCATAAATGAAATTGCAAAGTTACCTCCATTTAAAAGATTTATGGTGCAAAGAATAATAGCTATGCGTAGGGCAAATAATTCTGGGGCATTTTCAAAATTTCTCGAAGACTTAACTCACGTGTCACAAAAAATAAGAGACACAATTAACCCCACAGCGGATGTATTTTTAAGTGCAGGTGGAAAAATATCTCCTAAAGTTGAAAGAGATCTAAGTGTTTTATTAAATATTAATTTTTACCAAGCATATGGTTTGACTGAAACAACTGGACCCGTCATAGTTCAACATGTCAGGGATACGTCCACAGGTAATATTGGAGGACCTGTGTCTCCGCATGTACAATATAAAGTACAAACATGGGAAAAGTATAACGCTAAGGCCAAACCACCAAGAGGAGAACTACTCCTAAAGGGACCACAATTATTCAGTGGATACTTCCTTAAGCCAGAACAAACAAAAAATGCATTTACAAAGGATGGTTTTTACAAAACAGGAGATGTCGTACAAATAAATAAAGATGGGTCTATTACCTTCTTGGACAGATCTAAGGGGTTAGTAAAATTATCACAAGGAGAATACATCGAGACAGAAATGCTTAACAATTTATACTCAGACATAGAATTTGTTAATCATTGTGTAGTGTATGGTGATGACTCCATGGATGGACCACTCGCCATTCTCAACCTAGACAAGAGCTTATTCGCAAAATTTCTCGAGAGAGATGGGGTCTTAAAAGAACAAGGAATAACCATTGAGGAGTTCTTAAAAAATTTGAACGATGAAAAACTTAATAAGGAGGTGTATCTCAAATACGTCAGGGAAAAAATGCTCGGCATGTACAAAACGACCAATTTAAATCGCTACAACATTATAAATGATATTTATCTCACTGGTAAAGTGTGGGACACCAGCAACTACCTCACCCCTACTCTGAAGGTCCGAAACTTCTACGTCTATAAGGACTTTCAATCCTTCATTGATAAAATCAGGAAGGGTTATAAGGATAAAATGAAACTCAAGAATAAATAGTTTCACAATATATATGAAGCCATTTGTGTCCTTCGTAGAGCGCAAAAAAAAAAAAAAAAAAAAAAAAAATTTTACAAGTGATCCTCGCGTAACAAATAAAACAGAATAATGCTCCCCACACACACACACACTATGCGCAGAACTTGTATAATGGGTACATCAACAAGTATATACCACCTTTGTGTGTGTGTGTGTGCGCGTGTGCATACCAGTAGAGGACCTCTCTCCAAATGAGTGGGGAAGAAAAGGACATCAGCAATTAGTATAGCAGGGCTTGAAAAGACACACAGTGTCTCGCCTCCCACACGTGTGGTCATGCGGTGGTGTTACAATTCCGTTTGTACGATATTTGTACAACGTTCTCTGCCGTTTTGCCATCCTTCAGTTCTGATATATGTATATATATGTATTTTCCTTCATTCGCGCCGCCGTCTAACCGTAGGCCGGCCAATCGCATGAATATTTTTTAAACACCCTTTTCCCTCATTGTGATGTTATAGTCCGCCCGCGTTCGCACATATGAGCAGGTTTACATGTACGCACGTGCGGCAGTGCTTGTGCAGAGGGGGCAGGGGGGTGGGCTTTGTTTTTTTTGCGCCCCGTCTCGTTCGTTTCGTAGCTTTAATCTCTCCACGTGTTCTTTGCGTACGTTTATTTTGTGCCACCACAGTGGAGTACAGCACCCGCAGTGAAGAAGGAAAATCCACACATGGGAGAACTTCCCATGGAGAATAATCCCCCTTTAATTTTTCTCTTTTTTTTTTTTGTGTACAAAACTTCATCGTACAATACAGCCTGTAACATTTTGCGTGGCTACATCGTGAGTACCTACGATTAATCTGCTGTTTACTTTTAATAGCCTTTTCATAATTACGTTTTTAAAGACTAAAAAACAAAAAAAAAAAAAACGTCAGTTCGAGGTTAATTTTTTTTTTTTTTTTTTTTTTATCCGCCGGGAGCGAGCAATATGGCGCGCAAATTTTTGTGCAGACACGTGGCACAGGTGCTGCACTAACCAAGCCACTACTTCCCTGAGGGGAGCGGCAGCACGTATAAGGTGCCTATGGTATCGATGCCCAAAATTTGTATGTCGTTCTTCTGCGCCTTATTTGTCCTGCCAGGCTTGCTCGGCTTGCTGCTCCTGTTGGAAGCGTTCTCAGTGAGTAGATCTTCCGCGTCCGGCTGGTGGTAGAACTGCGCCAAGCAGATGTTGTACTCCCCAGGGTTATTAATCTGCAGACGGTGTGAGGGGATTTGCTGCATGCCATTTTGTGTATCCATTCAACACAGTGTGTGGTCCTCTCTCCTTCTTGCCACAGATATTCTACACCGATCGCGCCTCCCATACCTTGATGTTCTCCAGGAGGATCTCGTTGTGAAGCAATTTCGTGAAGACAGGCTCCAGCAGTATGCCTTCGGATTCCAAAATGTTTTTTTCGATGGTGCTTGGGCTGCGTGTAGGGGGGAAGCGAGAAATAATACAATCCGGTGAACTAGCAGTCATGCGATGGTTATACTGTTGGGCAGAGCGAGGAGGGGAGCAAGCACCCAGCGAGTGACACTCGAGTGGACTCTCCAAAAAAATTATTTTTGAATATTACGAGCACGTGGATCCCTTATTCACAACGAGCAGCTGCAGACATTCGTGCAAGTTGTATCCCTATGAAAGGGGGGGGGGGGCGGAGGAAAGGCGGGGAATGTCGCAACGGGTGATGTTTTCGCATGTGTCTCTCCTGACTCCAATCTTTGCGCAGGTAGGAACACAGAATAGACCCCCAATCGTTGCACCCTATTCGTAATAAAGATTTTTTTTTTTTTTCTTGTTCCAACCCGAATGGTGATGAACTGAGGTGTTTGTCCGCGTCCGCCCTGAAAAAGTGACGAGCATAGTTGCGCGTGTGTGCATGTACATAGGGGGAGGAATTGGCCCATGTGAAAATAACCACTCTCAATAGGGGTCATTTCACTTCAACGGCAAGTACCGAGGCAAAGATAGAATATTTTTTGTTCCTCTCCGGCTCAGCTATGGCACAATGGTGGAAGTCCTGCAGGATGGGTGAGAGGCAACGCAAAGGGAGGAAAAATATACATATGTATGCATATACATACCAAACACTATATAAAACAACGCCAGTGAATCATCCAATGCTTTACAAAAGGAAAGTATGAGGGGAAGGGGATGATATAACCCCTCCCCAATGGATGTTCTTTACTAACACTTGGACATGTGCCTCTGTGCAGGTCCACAAACGGCTCGCAGATTTTTTGAATTTGACTTCCCCTCTGCTCTAATTTCTGCAACGAGTGGAAGGAAAAGGGGGGAGTAAATTTATTTCCATTCTGAATGACATTGGCCCACAAGGGAGTGTGTGTCACTTTTGCACAAGCAAAATCAACATTGAATATTTGCACTTGGCGGTGCGTGGCTTGTCTACTCCTCATCCACTTACGTAGCACTGAGTTGGATGACTGAGCTGGTTGTGGCACTTCTCTCTGACGCAGTCTGGAGTTGGGGGAAGGAGAACCATTTCGAGAAAATTATTTTATATATATATATATATTTGTGTGTATGTGTCTTCATGCACTAGTGGGCAACTCTTATGCGTAAATGCGCTAGCAGTGAGACACTGGCTTAATCTCTTATGAAGTGCACACACCCATTGGACAGAATAACTTGCTCTTCTTTTCATTTCCTCCTAAGGGATAAAACGGGACGCAAAAAAAACAAATAAATAAATATAAAATAAAAATAAAAGTGAGCCCCGTCACCTTTTTGTTGTGCGTGTACCTACGTTATTATGTTGTTATTTTATTATTTTTTTTTTTTTTGTATTACTTTTCTTGGTTCCGCTGGCTACCTTCTCCTCTTGCGCTTTCTGCAAACAGCAGGTGCGGGAAAAACACATTTAGGCCGCATTTCCAGCATGTGCAGGCAAAAAGGTAAAAAAAAAAAA